TGTACAAAACACTAAACAACCCAGCAAATCCCGCTAGAATAGGGATTCTCACATCCTCCAGTATCAGAACAAACACAGAGGGCAACTGGCAGCTTGTACTGTTTATGTGCCAGGTGATTTGCCCTGAAAAGGCCAAAAAAAGAAAATAAGAGCTCAGGGTTTGGCTGAGATCCTGGATGGAGGAGAGGCGTGCAAGACTGTAGGGCCTACAGAGAGAACTGAAGGAGAGTTTGGCTGTCTTGGTCGCCAATGTGAGTCGCGGAAATCATTCCTGTTGCGACTGGCAGGATTAGAGCCTTTATATAACATACACTAAATGATTTTACTTGCTGATTGTCAACACCAACTGACCAAGACGCAGTCCAGCTTGGTCTCATCATTTATATTGACTCAGTCTTTGCCTCAAGTTGCTCAATAGCCAAGTTTTCATCCACTACCACTATGTGAAGATTAAGAGCTTAGTGCTGTCTTGGTGGCGTTAATTTTCCAGCCTGGTTCTATTAGACCACAGCAGAAGAATCAGAGCACCAAAGCAACTAAACACTGGAAAATAATACATTTTTAGTGAAGCAGTGCAGTCAACTCCTGTATTCATGCACCTTATTTGCTAATCCTGTTTCCATTGCATGTTCTTGCATTTGGTTTCCACCAACTTTTTTTTTTATGCATAGTTGTACAATGAGCCTAAAAACAAGTGACTGGAAATGAAGTTTATTTTCTTCACCAGCAGCTGGACTTGTTGGATTCTTGACCCACCAGTTTTTGGAGCACGCTTGCATCGCTTAATGGAAAATTATCCTTCTCTGTCATGCACCCTCATTTGAAGAACAAACTCAACACAACCACAGAGCATCAAGATGAATTTGGACACACCACACATCATCATTCCTGCTACATCCTGCTATGTTACGTACCACCAAATTACATATGTTGTGGACGGCAGCCATTCAAGATTTGGGCTCAACAAAATGATGAAAAAGCAACTGAGGCATATGAGCACTTCATCATTTCAAAATGATTCCTGGAGCTCAACGTTGAACATTAGTTTGACAATGTATAACTGTAGAAGTGTGCCCAAGGGAGCGATTTTCCTTTATTACACCATTTATTTTTCCTCCTATAATCTACGTTGTTAATCACCACTGACTGCACTTTGGAGTGTGTTTTTGTTTTTCTTCTGCTGTAATCGTCTTCTGCTGCACTGTTAAGGTCAGCGAAGAGGGAGAGCTGCCTGTTTGCCTCCTCCCTCTCTTCGTTGCCCTCTCAAAATTTCCCCTCCAGGCAAAAGAAAACACAACTCCTCCCACCAAAATAAAAACCATTTTACTCGTTCCACTGCTCAGCTGATGTTCCAGCAGTTCTTATATGGCAGCATCCCTCGGCAGAGAAAACAGGAGGAGCAGATAACAGCCTGACTGTGGTCTACTGGCAGCTTTGCAGTCGTCTGTGAAAGAAGGGATGTTTATCATGAACGGAAAATGCTTGTCATCGCTCACTGAACCACTGACATCCAGATCCGTATTGCTTTAACCATCACAAGTCTCCTGCCTCTGACCTTTTCAAGCTTGCTTGACAGACTTGAATTTTGGACACAGCTTTGCTGCTGCTGTGAATCCACTGAGCAAATCTCACAGAGGAGAAGATGCCAGGGAGTGATTAGTGCAACCTCGAAGGCCTGATAACTCAAGCAGGGCACTTGAACAATTGGAAATGAAGGAGCTTTTGAACCACATGAAAGACAATGAGGAAAAAAAGCCTAAAGAGGAGCTTAACTGCACTGGGCTTCATTAACTAGTGGCCTCTTTGCTCTTTGTTTCTGAGCCTATTGAACTCTGTGTGGCGCTCCAGCCCTCTCAAGCCGACGGGCTGAGCTTCTTCCCCGACGACGAGGGGCGGGGAGCAGGGCGACAAGGGCCAGGCGTGACTAATGCAGGAACCTGGTGCTGCTGTTGCATGCTGGTAAGGGGGGACGATATGGCACGGCCCGCTGTTGCCGCATACAGGGCGGCACAATGAGCCCGGCCGCCGCCACCCCTCCCTGTCTGTCACCCCTCCCTCAAACCACCCCACCCCCGTCGCCCATTCACGGCAGCTCCTTTCAGCAGGTCATTCAGAGGGCCAATAAAGAAGCCAGCTCATTCTGTCCGTTCTGAAATGTGCAGTGTCAGAAAGAGGGGGAGACGAGGGGAGGAATGGCGGGGGTGAGATTCCAAGAAGGCTTACAATCACCTCGCTAAAGGAGACTGAGCTGGACCTCCCATTTTCTATCTGCAGGACAGTTTGTGTTGTGAATCATCTCCAAAGCATGGGAAGGAGAAGAGAAAGACGTGGCAGCGTTTGAGATGAAAAGCAAAGTTTTCATCCAAATGTTGCACAGATGTTGCTGAAGTTGTGAAAACCAAGCAAGAGAAAATGACTTTGCACTTCCACTGTTAGCTGGTGGTGCTAATTCACAAGTGTCACTGAACCACCACTAAGTAGACTTCCACCACAAATGTTCATCTTTAGAGTTTCTGCTTCAAGTACTTCATGATGTTTCAAATGTTTTTATCGATACAGCAACTCCTTCCCCCTCACCCAAGCATCAAAACCCTTTTGAGATCATTTCTGGCATTTGCCCTCTTTTTGTGCACAATTTGAAATTGTGCATAAAAGCAGGTGGATGTAGAACATGTTCATACATGTCATCAGGGTATTTTTCTTTTCCCCCCGCCAGAAAGAGTCAAACATGACTCACTACAGACAGATTACTAATGAGAGCTTCATTATGAGATTAGTTGAAGCTCAGTGGATGCAGGTATTTCACCAACATGGAACTGGATCCATGAAGTCATGAAACTCTTCTGCATGTTCCCCTGCAGCTCCTATGTGACTCTGAGTGTGTGTGTGTGTGTGTTCGTATGATTGCAGAGGCAGCTGCTGGCAGCATGATGGATGAGGAATGGTCCGCTGGAAGCTGGAGACGTCCACATCGCTGCAGCGCTGTGAGCGGGTTAACCCTCTATCAACCTCCTCAAGCCTGTAAGGAAACTCCACTCCCAGCATCCGCAACGAAATGAAATTCCACACACAACCGCAATCTTAGCACATTAACAGCCTTCAGCACAGGCTTTTAAATCAGACCACATCATTACACGAGGCAAGACTCTCTCTCACGCTCTCCCTCTTATTCCCCATATCGCACATGCAGCCGCTCTCCAGACTCTAGTGGAACATCTCTTTTTCCACTCCGAGAAAAGCACCGGAGTGCAAATTAACCCCAAAATCAGCCCCCAATTTTCTGAGAGTGCCACTGCTGAGTGTATCACCGGGTGAACGAACATCACAGAGCCACAAACTGAAAGCTTTTTTAGAAAAAAAAAAAATACACTAAGCTCTAAGCTCACAGGATGTTGTGTAATTTCGCCCAGATGTTCTGCACAGCTCATCTAACTAATAAATACAAGGAGGGGAAAATGAATGTTTCAACCAGTCCTCAAATCTCAGTGCTCTGCTGGAGCTGCGAAGATACTTTCAGAAAGCTTTTCTGGTCATGAATGGTGCATTATGTCCTCCCGGTGGACTTGCAGAGAGTGGAGGAGTACACCTGCGCTCTATTAATACAGGCCTATCTTAGGAGGGACAGTGTTCCTTCCAGCAGCACAAGAGTGGAGGTCAGGGAAGCACAAGGGAAGCACCTCACCCAGATGTCTAAAAATACTGTCCTACATACAGGGGAACTCGGTTTAAAGTGCGTCCAGCTCGGGCAGGAGATGGAGTGATGAAGCACTGTGGAGAATTGCGGAGATTTCCTTCATCTGGAATCTGTAAAACAAGCTTTAATCTGACAGTTTTGCCCTGAGAAACACAAATTGCAAGTCTGAAACAAGCTGACGTTTTTAAGCTGATGTCAAATGAGCCGGAGCGCAGCACAGCCCCGGAGATTGATTGAAACCCAAAGTGTAAAAGTGTTAAAAAAAAAAGATGAGCTTGTGTGCCTCTGTGCAAACGCTCACACACAGCCGATAGCACATCTCTCTCTCTCTCTCTTCCAAACAGTCGTACATTCCTGCAGCTCTGTGGTCTGCGCTCACACACATGCGAGTTTAATTTACAGTCACTGTCAGGAAGAGACGAACATTTCTCCAACCACTATCTGATACGTGATGAAAATCCGCTGCCAGCAATAAAAGCTCCGGGAAACAAGAGCTCGCCTGTGTGAACAGAACCAACGTTGGCATCAACTTATTCCACCGTGTGTGTGTGTCTGAAGGCCAAGCTGGGATGGACCAGATCTGAGATTAGGGGAACTTTAGGTGCTGTGGCTTCACAGTGGGGATATTGTTCACACTGGAGTCCTCATCCTCCAGTACAGTCAGGGAGTATCAAGAGGGACAGAACCTGCAGGTATCCAGCAGAAAGAAGAAGAAGAAAAAAAAAAAGCACCTGCACCAGTCAGAGCTGCTAAAAGTTGCAGATGGGCGACACATCCATCTTACAGGTAGTGACAGAGGAAAGAGGACAATCTGGATTATAAATCAGCTTGAGGGGCAGTTGTTGAAGGCTTCCAACATGCTGAAGTAAATGACATGTTACTGTACATGAATAAACCAGCCTGAAGGCACTGCATGAGCAAATATGGAGAGAGCAAAGCAATTAACTGAGGCTGGCAGTAGTTGTGAAAACATAATTAGAATAAAACCTCTGATCGAGACAAAAGAGAGTAAGTTAGTGGGTCATGAGTGCCCTTTTTTTTTTTGGTAAGTCTAATAATTTCTTAAAATAAACAGCTACGAGGAGTCTGTCCACTCCTGCACACACACACACATACACACACACACACACACACACACATAACCTGAGACACAGAGGATTTCTGCAGCAACAAACAATCCGAGCGCAAAAACGCAAACACCTCTCCACCTGTGTGTGCATCATGTATCTCATGCATGCTTTGCAGATGGACTTGTGCACCAACTTGCAAAAAATAACAGGTCTCGGTTATTTGCTTGTTTGCTTACCGTTACCGGCTGCGATCTCGCCCTGCACATTCCCCAAGCACTGGAAAACTAAAACAACTCCAACGAGAAGGTCGAACGTCTTCACAGCCGCCATATCCTAAGTTCCGCCGCGGACTCTTCTCCGTCAATATCCCGGTTGGCTGTTTTCAGTCTTCTTATCACGCACGGACACCGCTTTTAACCGGGAGGACTACCGTAACTCTCCTGCTGCTCCTGCTCCGCTTTTTATAAAAGGGAAACCTGCCTGCGCTGCACTGAGCTGTTTTGTGTTTTTGTTTGTTCCAGCGTGTGCCACACTGCGCGCTCCTGGCCAGCAAAACGCGCTCTCCGCGGCCAAAATAAACCAAAAAA